AGTTCGAGCCCCGCGTCGGGCTCTGGGCTGATGGCTCAGAGCCAGGAGCCTGTTTCCGATTCTGTGTCTCCCTCTCTCTCTGCCCCTCCCCCGTTCATGCTCTGTCTCTCTCTGTCCCAAAAATAAATAAACGTTGAAAAAAAATTAAAAAAAAAAAAATTTACTTTCATGTTTGTTTATTTTTGAAGGAGAGAAGGAGTGTGAGTGAGGGAGGGGCAACGAGGGGGGGAGACACAGAATCCCAAGCAGGTCCCAGGTTCTGAGGTGTCAGCACAGAGCCCACACGGGGCTCCAGCTCAGACCGCGAGACCCTGGCCTAAAGTCGGCCACTTAACTGACTGAGCCACCCAGATCTCCCACCTTTTTGAAAACTTGAAGCATTCAAGATAAATTACACAAAAAAGGAAGTCCTTTTCCTGTAGCGATTCACGTTATGTGTTAAAATCTGTAGTCTGTCTGTCGGCTGGGAGTGTTTACATGCAGAATTAAGTCCTAGAAAATAATCATCAATTCTTAGCTTGCTCCCCCATTTTTATAGGGAGGTTTGAGGGCATAACCGTGTTCAGTCCATGCTTACTGAGTTCTCTGTTCTGATATATACACGTATATCCATCCATCTGTTTCGCATGGGCTGTGCGACACTGGCTTTGGGCTTTGCTGAGCTCTTCAGGGCATCCGCACGTGATCGTTGTGTAGTTGTGGGAATTCTCGAAAATTTCAAAAGGAACGGCTCCTTAGGCTACACCCTCCATTGGTTGTGAGAGAGAATACAAAGTGGGATATCTTCACATCTAAACTCTACCTCTCCTGGCTTGATAACCATCCTTGAGTGTGAATTAAATATCAAATAGTGTGACGAGTACATTAGTTAACACAAACTGGGACTTCACTGGAAGCCTCAAGACTGAGCGTGGACTCTATGTGAGCGTTTCCTCTCTCAGGTCACCCCAGAAGGTCAACTGGGATGGAGACGCTGATCCACTGGTTTAGGACTAGGGTATGGTCAGTCTGGGTTCCCCGTCCCGCTTCCACCTTCCTTTAACAGTATGTGCTGAGATTAACTCAGCATTTTGCTTCCGAAATTCAGGAATACCCCGGGAGGCGTATGATCAAGAGATGTGGAACTGTCTCAA